GGGACACACCTCTGTCACACCTCTTTATTGCTCCAATGAAAGCTTGCGTTCTCCATCCCGTCACCATGGTTATGGGACACACCTCTTTATTGCTCCAATGAAAGCTTGCGTTCTCCATCACGTCACCATGGTTAGGGGACACACCTCCGTCACACCTCTTTATTGCTCCAATGAAAGCTTGCGTTCTCTCTCCTGTTACCATGGTTATGAGACACACCTCCATCACACCTCTTACTTGCTCCAATGAAGGCTTGCGTTCTTTCTCCCAAAAGCTTACGCGATCGAAGTGATCGTCATTACGGTTAACATGTTCGTCTTCACTTCAAATTTTCACGTAAAGCGACCAACCGCTTTGCATACATTGGCTATTTCTCCTTCTATTAACGGAGAGATAGTTCTGTTTTATTTTGGAGATCCTGTGCTATCCTTTTATAGGGTGGTTTTCTTTCAAGTCTTTTCGACCGACTTTGAGCTCGTCCAGAAGAGGTTAGTGCAAAGTTGTTCGTAGCAATGATTCGTAGGAAGTTTCGTCGTTGACAGGCAACAATGCTTTTGCCAGTTAGCCCCTCTCGCATCTGTTTTTTTCTTACTGACGTGTATTGGTGAACACTGGTAATGACGATGCCGGAAAATCATTATTTAAGTGATGTGCCCTTGATACTAATTCGTATGTTAACTGCCTTTAGTAATCGGTCTATGTTTTCGCTATTTAGGACTTCTTACTTTAGTTCGTTTAAGAACAAATGTTATTCTGGAAACTCTGAGATAGCCGTTTTGAGGGATGTTGTTTGGCAGTGCAATGTAATGTACAAACGACTCTATGAGTCAGTGGGGCTAATGCATGAAACAGCCTCTGTGGTGAAATGTCCACTGGCATTATCACGAAACACGTCTATGATGGTTGATGGTTTTCAGTTTTTTTACAATTGATCCAAGCAAATCTATTTTCTAGGTGAAAGATATATATCTTACTAGACGCTCCGATGAAGGGCTAACGCTCGAAACGTCAGCTTTTATAACCGTAACGGTGGCCAATTTACCATTTCAACTTTGCTGATATATTCAAATTATCTTACTAGACGTTTTGTTGTGCAGTATCGCAAAACTACAAATAACGAATAAAAATACTCAGCGATACTACACAACAAAACGTCTTTATAATGCAACACGCCAAATTGTTATTCAGTGCGGGCGAATTTCGCGGATATTTCTAAAGTACAAATACCGCGTGATATTTGTGCTTGTGTAGGGCGTTACTTGCACTCTGCGAAGCACAGTTGAATAGTAATTAGGAAGAAGACTAAATGAGTATCATTTATTTGCTCCAAGAACCCCACAATTCTGGGAAAACGTTGGGTCTGTGACTGGTTACATCCTCAGTACTGGCAACTATGCCATTTTTAAACAAGTAGGAAAATAAACTTCAATTTGCACTATTATATGGCAAGGTGGTATTGAAGTAAATACATGCATGCTGATGTGGTTCATAATAGGCCATTTTACAGTTGTGTGCTTAGTTGCCAAGCCTTTGATTCAGAGTGAGGCTAAAGATGACCTTGTTGTGATAGAGACCTGTATCTAGTTAGCATGATCACAAAGTGATTTACATTTGAAAGGCAGCAAGGTTTTTATCATAACAAGGTCATCTCTAGCCTCACTCCCATTCAAAGGCTTGGCAACTAAGCACAGAACTGTAAAATGGACTATTGTTCAATATGCTCTACAGACCATTTCCACTTTACAAAAAATGGTAACCCGTAAATTTTTTGTTTTGAAAGGCACCAAATGTAAAGCCCTATGGAGGAATATTGGCCCTCAGTTGTATTTGTGAAGACCTCTGGAAAATATTCTCTAAAGTGGCCGTCGGGCTTGGTAATAAGTTATTATTTGCAGTTATAGCTGAGTTCATTTGCAGCAATGACATTAACAAAATGAACGAGAGATAGTTGATTTCATTTTAATAAATTTAATTTAAATTTAGGGTGATGTGGTAGGCATGGCAATCCTGTCCACTGTGGTGGCCACATCCACCACGGCTACCACAGCCCCCTCTCTTCCTCCGCACTTAAAACACTCTTTCTGAATCCCTGTAAGGAAAAAAAAAGAAAAAACACAAGTTAAAAGGTTTGACAAGAGAACACCCTTACAAGGAGATGTTACCCAACTGACAACTATACCCAAAAGGGCTAAATGAATAACCCTAGTATCCTAAATCTCTACTTGTATGACAATAGTTCTTAATCTTTCCTAGAAATGCTGGCATACTGCAGCTTTTGTTGTAATTGGAAATAAAATATTTGTATTTTGCAAACTGAGTTAGTACAATAGACCTTCAAGGGCTTTTTTTTGTTCATCAATATTTAATTTTAATTTCTTTGTCATCAGTCAAAAATACTCACATGGGTAAGTACCTTTAAATATATATATTTTTTTGCACCTTTAAATCTTTCAGAAATTATCTTTATCTGCTATGTGAGAATTCTTAGGAAAAGGAATTTATTTCATGCATATATTGAGATTGACGCTGTGATGTACTATCATTTGTGTCTCTGATTGGACAAACAATGTATTTTCACAGTCATTCACTAATCCCAGCTTAATTTTGCTAGTCAGTAAGAAAAATCTCAGTATGTATTAGATACAAATATCATGAAAGTGCTTTTAATTAACACCATGAAAGTAGTTTAACAATTTTAATTCAGTTGCTGCGATACATTAACTTACTCATTCAATGCCTTCCCTTGTTTTTGTTTTTGTTTTTTTTTTTAATGCAAACTAACCTGTTTGTGTGCACCTTTGATGGAATAATCTCTATTTGTTACAGATTGAAAAATATTGTTTTTAAAATTTAATTCACTTTTGTAAGAGCATGACAAATTCAAGATTTTCTGAATACTTTGGAAAACAATATTTTTTAAAATAAATGTAAGGCTAGTTTACTGTACTGTAACTTGCTAGGTCACTACCTGCTATCCTTTCCTGTTTTGTGTCCATGGCTACCAGTGTCTTTGTTCTTGTATTCTATTTTACTAACAAAGAAAAATATTATACTTGGTTTGAACAGGTTTATTAAAGATACTGCACAACTTCTATAGCTATATAGGAAAAGGTTTCTTTGCACTGACAATACTGAACCAAGTGATAAAAACATTGCAAAATTATGAACTTCTATTTCTTTATTGAAAATGGCCAAAGGAAAAAC